AAAAAAAAAAAAATTAAGAACGTTTCCTTTACACAGACTTTACCCAATGCAAACTTGCCCCAGGAGAGAAAGAAATGAAAACTCCCACAGAGTTCCTGTTCTCTGCACTTGTTTGGGAGAGAGACCAAGATGGCACTGGATGTCCAGCTCTTCTCCTGCCTTCCTTGGGGACCCACAGGCTGTGCAGTGGGGCCGGTGGTCCCTGCGGCCTGTGTACTGTGCGTGGGAGGCCCCTCCGGTGGATCCAGCCCTCAGTGAGCAGACTCACCGTCATCCAGCGTGCGCTCCAGGATTGGGGGGTGGCTGGGGCTGCCGTCGCCAATGCGCGTGAAGGCCAGCACCTGCACCTCGTACAGCACGTACTTGCCCAGGCCGGTGAGCTGTGCGCTGCGAGACGCGTTGCCTTCCACCAGCCAGAAGCGGGGCTGGGAGTCCGAGTCCTTCTCCTTGTACCTCACCTGCCGGGGTGACCACCAGGGAGACCTCAGGCCGGCTCTTGCTATGACAGTACCTGCTCTGAGCCCCATCTGGATAGTCTGGCCTGGCTTGTCCTAAGCAGGTCCGGGGTAACTGCACAGCTTGTGTACCCATATGATTGAGGACAAAGATGGAGCCAGCTGTAGAGCTGGAAGATCTCTGAGAGCACCACCAGGGGAGAACAGAGGCTCACAGATGGAACGTGACTTGACTTGCTAAAGACCACGTGATCTGCCAAAGGTCACGCGACTTGCTGAAAAGGCCACGTGACTTGCTGAACCGGCTGGTGATTTGCTGAACCGGTCACGTGACTTGCTGGAGGTCATACGGCTAGGAGCAATGCCATGTCAACCCACATCTCCTAGCTTCCGGGTTGGACAAGGTTGGGCCAGGTGATGAGGCTCAGCTCTAAGAACAATTCTAGCAGAGTAATGGAGCTGATATGGTCAGATTGTGCGTCTCCCCAAGGGTCTGTGGGGCCCGGTGAGAGGTCCCCAGGTTATGAGGCCCCTAACTTTGGGAGGGGTTAAGGTAGCTCTCATCTGACCCCCTGTGATTTTTCAAGAGTGGGCTGGGTTATTGCAGAGCCCTGAGCCTGGCTGTCCGTGCTCAGTTGTCCCTGGCTTCCTGTCTGCAGATGTGACATGGGATCGCTTCTCCCACACAAGCTGTCACCGTCATTCACCATGGTGGGACACATCTGAGGGCCCCCTCACCAGAGCTGAGCCTGTGCAGGCAGCATGTCTGTGAGCTTGCTCCAATGTAAGCTAAACATACCTCTTTACTTTATAAGTTAGCCTGCCCCAGGTATTTTATTATGGTAATGAAAATTGGTATACGAAACCTAAAAGTGGGTCTATTAGAAGTATGAGGGAAGCTGGGGACACCTGGAAGAGCTGGAGCAGTCCCAAAGATGCAGAGACCCACTGCAGACCTCCCTGCCCCTAGGGAGGCCTCCTTGGTTACGGTGGTGACTGGCGGATGGGAGGCCAGGCAGATCCCCTGTGTCCTTTGGAGGAAGAAGAGACCCCGAGGGTGATAAGGACCAGATACTTGGGAGGATGGGGGAGTCAGCACAGGGACCCTGTCCTCCTTCTCCACAGACTCACCTTATAGCCCAGCACGAGCCCATTGCGATCAGCCTCGGGGATTTCGTTCCAACGCACAAGCATGCTGCTGGAGGTGGTGGCCAGCGCTGATACATTGGTGGGGCCAGAAGACGGGACTGTGGGGGAAGAGGGAGTGAGAAGGAGCAGCTGAGAACCCAGAGCTGGCCCTGCAGTGGAGGGAGGAGAGCAGTAGACCAGGAGGCTCAGGCAGGAGGCAGCCCTGTGGCAGAACACGTGGTGTAGATGGTCCCCACAAGGTGAATCACCCTACTGTGTTATCTTCAGCTTTTCCAAGAAGGCTGGGGAACCAGGAGGCTTCCTGAACTTTAAAGGTGCCAGCGAAAAGCCACAGGACAGCAAAACCACACGTGGACAAATGAGGACTGCCTGTGGGCCAGGGCCCTAGGAACCACTCTTACATTTCTAGAACGTTCTAGCCTTCCTTCCCTAGAACCTCCATCTCAGCCTCCTTCAGGCCACCACTGGGTTCAGGTTTAAAGCAGAATGTAGGACATAGGCAGACTGCCCTGCCACCCATGCCCTTGTGTCAGTGGTGAGGATGGACACCGGGAGGATCAGAAGCCAAGGGATGCGAGCTTGGGCCTGGACACACTGCACCGGGCTAGCTCAGAGGAAGCGGCTCAGGCTGTTTTGGGACAGCAGTCCCAGCCCAGGTGTGGAACCTTGAGGGTGGAGACGGGGTGGGCCTACCTGACTCCCGGGTCCTGCCGAGCACCACTGGGCTCCAGGGCCCACTCCCAATGGCATTGAAGGCCTGGACCTGCACACGGTACTCCGTCCACTCCTCCAGGTCTTCGATGGTGTACTCCCTCTCTACACGGTCCGGCACCATGTGGCTCAGGGTCTTGCCATGGCCGTCCGACCGGCTATACTTGATCTTGTAGCCCACGGACTCAGGATTGCCGTTGTACTCCATCTCCGGGAGAGGCTGCGGCGTACACAGTGAGCGGCACGAGTGAGGGAGGCTGTCCAGGGTGGAGGACGCCCCTGCAGGGGTGGGAGCACGGGCCCTCTTCCAGAGGCTGTCAGTGGGACCCAGCCTGTCAGGCTGCCCGTGTCCATGAGAGGGGTCCCCTGCTGCAGCATGGCTTGGGCTCTGTCGGCCGGATCTCCATCTGCCCACCCCACACTGCTATGAAAAGGCAGCATGACTCTCCACTGTGTGTGTGGCTAGCTCACTGCCGCCTGGAGCTGGGCCTGTCTTGTCCCATCTTTCCTTTTCTCTTCTTTTTTCTTTCTCTTCTGCCGATACTGGGGATTGAATTTCCTGTTCTTTTTTATTTTAAGAAAAGGACTTACTGCATCCCTAACTTGCCCAGGTTAGGCTTGAATTTGTAATCCTGCCTCTGCCTCCTACAGGTGCTGGGATTACAGGCATGAGTCACCATGGCTAGTCTGTATGTATATGTGTATGTGTGTGAGTGTGTGAGTGTAAGTATGTGTGTGTAGTACTGGGCATTAAATCCACGTGCACTCTGCCACTGAGCTGCATCCCTTGATTGATTGATTGATTGATTGATTGATTTTGAAATTGCATCTTGTTGAATTGCCCACACTGGGCCAGAATTTGAAATTTTCCTGCCTCAGCCTCCATGGGTGCTGGGACAACAGATGTGCATCACAGCATTTGGCTCTGTCGTCTGTCACCAAGCTGAGTAGCGCAGCCCCTGGCTCCAGCTTCCTCCCCGTTTAGCTTCCACATGCAGGTGGCCAGCGTGCATCATGGGCCTCAGCCTCCCCCGTGGCCAGTCACTGTCCTCACTGGGCAGTCCTGCTATCCAGCCAACCTCAGTCTCTCCTGCTGCATTCCCTGTCTCCCTTCTTTTTTGTTCGAGTCTCAGCAGAGAAGAAAGGCAGATTCCTTTTCTGGCCTTAGGTTCAGGCTGGCTGTGGTCCCTGTCAAGGTCATAGGGGTGAACCCGGGCTCCGCAGGGGAACAGTGGGGAGTGTAGCCTGGAGCAGGTGTGAGCTGGCACCAGCCTCTGCTTCTCCTCTGCCTGGGGTGTGATGGAGCTCGGCTATCCGCACCCCCACTTTTCCCATCTGCCTCCAGGGGCTCTGGAGGCCCAGGCTCCCCACCTCCTGACCCACTTCCTCCAGTTCCCCGCTGCAGCCCCACCTCAGCATTCACAAGTGTTCCCTCCAACCTGCCTCTCTACAGACACTCAGTGAAGAGGCCCAGACCATTAGGACTGCAACGATGGGCCTGAAAGCCAGGGAAGGAAGCGGCCGCACCTAAGTGGGCAGGAGGAGCTGGCTCGGTAGGTCGGGTGGCCTCTGCCTTTTCTTTCCCTCCATCCAGCACCCGCATCAGGAAATGGGGGGCCAGGTGGGGCGGGTTTGGGGTGGAGCTACACTAGAGGTCAAGAAAGGCTGCCTATGCCCAATGCCTGCTACCCTGGACAGGGCCTGTTGCTAAAGCCAGCTGCTCATAGGGAGCTATGGCTCTCCTAGCCGCTAGCTCCTGCTGAGAGAAAGGCTGTGGAGGGTCTGTGCTGTCCCTAGATATCAGAATGGGGCAGTTTGGAGGCTCAGGTTTGTATAACTAGTAGGAGGTCCCTTGTGGCCACGAAGGGCCGCAGGAGCTCCTTCAAGCCAGCTTTTCTGGTGCCAGAGTTCCAGGTTTGCTCAGGAGCCTTATCTGAGAATCAATCTCTCTGTCTCTCTGTCTCTCTGTCTCTCTCTGTCTCTCTCTCTCTCTCTGTCTCTCTGTCTCTCTGTCTCTCTCTCTCTCTGTCTCTCTCTCTGATGCTGTGTATTTAATCTGGCACCAGTGAGGTCCCCAGCCTCTACCTGTGATCCTCCTGCCTCAGCCTCGTGAATAGCTGGGATTGTCTAGGAGTTCTTGGCTTCATGTGTCTCTTAGGATTACTGCCTCATGAGACCCTCCCTGGAAATGCTGCTGGGGTGGGGTCCTTTCTCTGCCTCAATTTCCCCCTTAGCAAAATGGGAACAGGTTCCCTGGGCTGTCCCAGGCCTATGGAGAAAGTCGAAGCTTGGTGGAATAAAGTACTGCTAGAGCACCTGGGAGGGGAGGATGCCTCCGCTGTTACCTCCTGCAGGGCCTGACCTCTGAGAACACCTGAGAGCTCAGATCACTTGCCAGCCCCCTTGATCTCAGAAATAAGCACTCACTTTCGGACACTCAGAGATGCCTCTGAGGGTCAGGCCCTCCGCATGGGAGCTGTGTGGCCACGAGAAAGTTCCTAACCTCTCTGAACCTCAGTTTTCATAGCTGTCTGTTGGGATGGTACATGTGTGCTTTGTAAGTCTCCTGCGAGGGAAGAAGTGGGGCAAGAGATTTAAATGCCCGGCATGTGGCAGCACTCAGCAAACAGTTTTCTTGTTCTTTCTGTCAGTGGAGGCAATTGCTCCTCTGGCTGGGATTATCAAGCGCCTTCTAGGCTGTGGTGATCAGGGTGCAGGGTCAGCTTTGGGGTCCACCCAGAGGACTTCCTGTGTCTGGGTGGGCGATGGAGGCGTGGCCTTGGGGTCCGTGCCCGGTACCTGGTCCCTTCCTCTCTGGCACTGTCTCCCTGCTCAGCTCCTGGCTGCCATGAACTACAAAGCTTTGCTTCACCACACCCGTCATGGTGTCACCACGCCACGACGCTCCTGATTGGAGCAAGGGGCCCTGGACTGGGTCTCTGAAATGTTAAACCTCTCCTTCCTTAAGGTATAGGTGTCAGGGATGGTGCCCAGCAAAGGACTTACAACCACACCAGGTAAATCAAGAAGAAAATAAAAAAAAAGAATAGAAAACAAAGCAACAGGAGCACAGGTGTCTGAAGCCACGGCAGCTCAGCAAGGTGTCAGGGGTCGAGGGGACGTCACGCCGCGTGGCCCTTGGGGGAGCCTCACCATCCAGCGGAGCCACAGGCTGGTCTCGCTAGCTGTGCGCAGGGTCACGTTGGCGGGGGCCATGTCGGGAGGGGCCTGGAGGGTCTGGATCTTCCTAGAAGGCTGGCTGGGTGGACTGGTGCCCACGATGTTCACCTGACGCATGCGGAAGCTGGGACGAGGAGTGGGATGGTGAGCGCGGGGCCGCAGAGGCAAACCCCACTCCATCCCAGCAGCCCTCTGTCCCCCAGGCGCGTTACCTGTAGTAGGTGAAGGGGTTGAGGTCTGGGACTTCCATGGAGCGGGCGTCAGGCTGGCTGCTGAGCTGGTGAATCAGCAACCACTCCTCTCCTTCCCCAATCACGCCTACCTGCAAAAGGGGCACACTTCATTCTGCCTAGGCCATAGGGCTTGGGTGGGGCACTCCAGGTCCAGCGCCTAGCAGGCCCCAGGAAGGTGTTGGTCCCAGTGCTAGGGCTCACCAGGAGGCACCAAATGGCACCGGCATCTCGCCACACTGTTAGACATGATGGGGTGGGGGGCGGGAGTCTGCGACCCCCTGCATCAGAACCATGCAGGGCTGGGGGAGCAATCTCTTCCTAGGTGTCACCCGAGACCATGCTGATCAGTATCCCTGGGATGAGCGGGCACAGAAGTTTGTTTCTTTTTCTTTTTTTATTTTAGGACAGTGTCTACAGGGTCTCACTGTGTAGACTGGACTCAATGATCTGCCTGTTTACAGCCTCCCAAGAGCTGAGATTACAGGCATGTGCCACCACGCCCAGTCTCAACTGCTGTCTCAGCACGCCCCAGGAGCGGGGCCGGCATGGCAGGCTCAGGATCAAACTCCCGGCCCCAGCATCTGTATAAGCACTTTTTTTTTTCTTTTGAGCCTTGCTATGTAGTACAGGCTGGCTTTGAACTCACTATGTAGCCCAGGCTGGCCTCCTGCCTCATGCTCCCAAGGGCTGGGATTACAGGTATGTACCACCATGCCCAGTTTAGAGACCTATTTTTTTTTTTTACCAAGTTCCCTAGGCAATTCTCCTAGACATTCTGGGCTACTTCTAAAAATCTGTCTGCCTCTCAAATCAGTTAAATCTGAATTTAAATTGTGTGTGTGTGTGTGTGTGTGTGTAACACTGGTGCTGAAATTCTGATGCTCCCTGATGATTCCAGGGTGCAGCCAGCGCTGAGAAGCCTGGGGATTAAGGGTCTGCAGGCGGCGGGTCACTACCCCAACACAGGGGGTGCTGGGAGGTTGGGGTGCTCTGCCATGCACAGGTGACGTGGAGGTGGAGGCAGTCTGGGGAGCTGGAGGCATTCTGGGTTTACAGAGGCTCTCCAACTTAGCGCGTTTGGCTTAACAGTGTTTTTGACCTTATGGTGGTCTGAAATTGACAGGCATTCAGTAAAAGCCAAACTTGAGAGTTTGAACTTTGTTCTTCTCCTCATCTCGCAATGTATGGTGTGACCTCCCCTCATAACGCCCACCTGCAGGCCCCTGTCGGGGCTCCGAGCATGTTTTGGGCAGGCTTGGCTGAGCTAGCAGGGTTTGTTGGCCAGCTGTATTGAATGATCTTCTGTTCATGGTTTTTTTAATTTAGCATGAGCTTGCCAGGATGTCACCCTAACATAAGTGAAGGAGCATTTGTGTGTGGCCATGACAGCCACATGTGAAAATGACATGGATTAAAATACATGTATAACTTTGCACTTAGAAACACGGACCTGGGCCTGCCAAATAGCTCAGTGGATTAAAGTGCCTACAAGGGCGCAGCGGCTGGGAATTAGATCCCTGGGCCTGCTATGCCGGCCTCACTCCCAGGGTGCACTGAGACTGCGATCCAGACTGGGCATGGTGACGCACGCCTGTAATCCCAGCTTTTGGGAGGCTGTAAACAGGCAGATCATTATGAGTCCACTCTAGTAGTGAGATCCTGAACACCCTGTAGACCCTTCCCTAAAAAAAAAAAAAAAAAAAAAAAAAGAAAGAAGAAGCATGGACCTGACAGAGGTGGGTGGAAGGAGCTGTGGGGGGCTCCAGGCTCCCCACTGGCAGGCTTTACCTGGGCCTCTACCAGCCAGCGGGAGATGGAGGTCTTCCCGTCGTAGCCTGGCCTGAACTGTAAGGTCACGGAGCGGGGGCCGATGTTGGAAATGCCCAGGTTGGTAGGGGGCCCTGGGAGCTCTGGAGGGGGAGAACAAGGCAGGAAAGGAGGTCAGGCTTTGGGGCTGTCCCTGGGAAGGCCTTGGGAGGAGCGTGGCCCGGGCCTATCTGCCAAGGCTGCCTGTACTACTACGTCTTACAGCGCGCCGTGTTTTCACCAGGAGGCTGATGGCCCTGGGGGCCTCCCGGACAGCTCTGGGTGCAAGTGAAACGCTCAGGAGGGAGCTAGAGCCCACAGGAGTCCAGCTGGGTTCCAAATGGCTCTATTGCCCTCCACCTGCACATCCCACGATGGCTGTGGGAGGCCAGAAAGGTACACAGGGCACGACAGGGCGGCAGAACCCTGGGGCTCTGGGGGGTCAGGATGAGGCCAGAGAGCACAGTGTGCAGGCAGACTCCTGAGTCTGAGTCCAAGGGCACCACTTCCAGGCCGTGTGTCTTTAGACAGGCCTTTCTCTGTGCCCCAGTAAGATGGACAAGACGACGACACCCTGTGCCTCAGGCTTGGTGTAAGGATCTACTGAGTCCGTGTCTGTGAGACCCTTAGCTCCAGGCTGAGGGGCAGCCCTCAGGTATCAGTAGCACCTATGGGGGGGGGGTGTTCAGGGACCTAAGCCGGCAGGTTGAGGGGTTCTGGCCAAGTCCGAGCCTTATTGGTCTAGATACTGCCATACGGCTATCTAGTCTGAATCCCCAGGATACAGATGGGAAACTGAGGCACAGAGGGTGACAGAAGCAAAGCTGAGATGACAGCCCATCTGGCTTTGTTCTGCAACCCCAAGCAACTGACTGAAATCCAACTGGACTTTCTGAGTGACCTCAGGGAGAACTCTCCATGATCTGGCAGGAGGGTACGGGGGGGGGGGTGCGGGGGGGGGGGGTGCAGTGGGGCAAAGGAAACGAGGGAGGAGTACTCTGGGGCCCTGTGCTGGCAGAGACTCATGGGCTGGGGGAGGCAGCTGCAGGCTCTTGGGGCCTCTACTTAAAGACCTGGGGTCACTGGACTGTCTGCTCTGAGGGCCACAGTCAGGGGGGTGCTCTGTGGGAAGAAGGCCGGTGTTCCCAAGGAAGGGGCGTCTTCTGGTGAGGGTGCTGCTCTAGAGGGCCACAGAGACCACCAGCCCTGCCCGAGGAAGCCTACCTGGAGGCACTCCCGAGGAGATGGTGGAGGCTGACACCTGGCCCTGGCCCTTGGAAGTCATGGCGGCCACCTCGATGGTGTAGGTGGTGAGCGCCGTGAGGCCAGTGACGCGGTACTCCAGGGTCACATTGGGCAGGTAGTGCGTCACGCGGGTGTTGGTTCGGTTGTACTCCTCCCAGGAGATCCGGTACCCTGGAGGGAGCCCAGCGCGTGAGGTGGGCCAGGACCCACGTCCTGCTTCTCATTTCTTCTCCAGATCCATAGCTTAGTCCCCATGGGACACAGGGAGTGGGAATGCTGGCCTGGGCCAGGTCCTCAGAGAAAGTGCTGGGAGGCCACCATGGGGTGGGGATCGAAAGGAGAAGGGAGTATCTGAGGCAGCCCCTGAGGTCCCAAAGACCTTGAGGTCCTCAAGACCTGACTCCAGAGACATGGGACTGTGTTACAACCCAAGGTGCCAAGAGCCTCCGGAGCAGCTGCTTAGGAAGAAGCAGCTAGGCCAGGCCTGGGGGCGCACGCCTGGGATCCCAGCACAGTGAGGGGCTGAGGCAGGAGGAGTGCAAGTTATTGTGTGTACCTTAGAGACTTAGTCAGGCCTTATCTCAATAAATAAGTACATCCATAAATAGGGCTGTAGAGGTACTGAAGGCTCTGGGTTCAGTCCTCAGTAACAACAGCTACCACAAGACAAAGAAAAGGAAAGGGAAAGAAAGAAAAAGAAAAGAAGGAAAAGGGGGAAAAGAGGAAAGGAGGAGGGGAGGAGGGCCTGGAGGAGAGCCCCTGAAGGTAGGGGACTGGTGACACCCTCCCAGCCCCGCCCGCTTCAGGACGCCCCGCTGCCTACCTGTGAGGATGCCATTCTTCTCTCCTGGCTCCTGCCAGCTGACCTTCAGCGAAGTGTCCAGGATGTCATTGAAACTCAGGTGTCCCACAGGCCCCGGCACTGTACCCAGAAGCCCCCACCCACCCATGCAGAGCCAATTAGGGCCAGAGCGAGAGACAGCCCCGGGTGACCCCGGGTGCCCTGGAGTGAGGGTGGGGTAAGAGAGCTGCTGGGGCCACTTACCATCCTCGTGGGTGCGTACCAGCTGGGGGCTGCTGCGGGGCCCGTCCCCGGGTGTGGTGAAGCACAGCACCGAGGTGAAGTACTCCGTGAACTTCTTCAGGCCTGACACGAAGCCCACGTGGATGCTGTCTTGGAAGTTGGGCCGGGCAGTCACCATGGTAACCTCCTCTTCCTGCTCTGGTTCCCAAGCAATCAGCTGAGGAGAGGACAGCAAGAAGGTTCCAGAAGAGGGCATGCCACTGTCAGCCACGGGCTGGGCCAAGGGATAGTGTCCAGGAACCAGGGCCCAGGGGTCCCAGTCCCAGGGACAGGAGAGGCACCTGAGGAGCCCGCAGACATGGGCAGTGGGCCCAGCTAACAT